TATTTTTTATCACATCTACCGACTTTCTTAGAGACCTTAACAGCATCATACTATAGTTCGTCATAGTTGTTCGAACAATTACTAGCTCGTGTGCCAACGAATAGCAGCGAGAGACATTTATGTTCATCATTGAAACATTGAAAGCGATGTCGTCCGACGTTTCCTATACAATAACCTTTCTCAAAGCCCTCAAATTCATCTTGAGAGCGAAGGCAGTCTAAAAATTCGTCATGAATTCGGTATTGCGAGATACACTGTGCTCCGAAACTGCATACTTCAGGAGCGACAGCATACGGCCGACCGTTGAACGTTAAAGATTCATTCCAACAGAAGTTATCATACTGAAGAGGCAAAAAATCATCTCGGTAGTAGTTATCATGGCAAAGTATTTGATTTGTCTGATGAGCAATAATCAAATAAGGCGATATAATCCTGAAGCCTTTATGACCGTCGTCCATGATATGATACCCTCTACATTTCATGTCACCAGGTAGTTCGAACCAGAGATGAGCGAGCCGCGGTGTAAAACCGCCCCGTCTCGCCCCGCCCCGCCCCGCCGGCGAGGCGGGGCGGTGACGGTGCATGACGAAATTGCGCGGTTTCCCCGCCTTTGTATAACCTTGATTTTTTAAATATACTCAGATCTTTAGAGACATCTTTTTAAAATTTTAAAATCTTTTCACAAAACTAATCAGTAAAAAAAGACTTGTTAGCGCAGCTCCAGAGGAGCTAAAATGTGGAACTCACATATATTTTTTTAATTTTTTGTCCTGATGCCTTATTTTTAAATTGTAAAATACTTTTTTTCCGAATACGTATGAAATCATTGATATATTATATAAAAACTAGAGCCTTTTATGCGCTGCTGAGGTCTGTAATGGTGGGGGTCAGGGTTACCAGATCGAAAATTAAAAAATCAGAAAAATTTTTCTAAAAATTGGGAAAGTCGGAATTTTTGTTCTCGAAATCGGAAGAAAACCAGAAAGTATTTTTCCATGCTTAAATAACTAGTCTATATATTTTCGATAGCTTCAATATCCTTTATCTTGCTTCTGTTCATCTTTTCGAAGCAATATCAGAAATGATATTTCATAAAGAATTAAAGAAAATATCGATTACACAATTTACTCATGATTGAGAACTCTACATAAGTAATTTGAACAGGATCACATTATTTTTATCAAAAATGCTATAACCAACTTGACGAAACAATAGAATCAGTATTGTAAATTCATACACACACATGCATTTCACAAAACTTATGCAAAACAAAACTAAGACTTATTCTGTATAATGTTCGTTTTTGTTCATACTTTTTTATTAGCTCGAATACTCTTCAAAATATCAGGTTGAGGTAACAGATATTCATAAAAATGTCCACAAGTATAAACAGAATTCATTCCGATTTTCAATTCTGCAACAGCTAAATTAGTACCCATACGATTATGATTAATTTTATGATATCTGTGATGAAACAAAAAAAGCTCAGAAACGAAAATATCCTTAATTAACACTATAGTAAACGAACAGATAAAGTTAGTTCATCGTGATAGAAAGCTGGATCTTAATTGTCTGTAAAACATCATAGTTTTATTGGAGGATATGCTTTCAAATCACTGCAGTGTGGTTTGTTGAGTTCATGACGCTTCACTACCCGATAACTATGGTGAAATAGATCGCTATATACGTACGTATGTGTGGTGTCGTGTCATGGTTAAACCATTCTAGAATGTCCTAAGAACTTGAATTCCCAAATAAGACTTCGAAAACCGGAGAAAAATTAGGAAATCTGAAGGCGATCGGAAAAATATGTTAAAATCGGAAAAATCGGAACGTCGGAAAGTCGTTGGAGAAACTTTTAAAAAATCGCAATTTTTCCTGCCGTATCGAAAGATCTGGCAACCCTGAGTGGAGTGTCTGTAATGGAGTGGGGGAAGGGAGAGAGCCGCCAAACCTCGAACTTAAAACTTACAATCACTATTTTATTCGAAAATATACGTGAGTTCCACAAAATGAGTGACTGTATTATAATTGCCTTTCATTTTCATATATTTATTTTTTTCTATTTCGGAACGATGTTTATGCATTTAAAATATGCCTCTTCATCTCATGAAATGAAATAGCCATTATGAAAATTTAATGAAAAATTTGTCAATAAATAGTTTTTTAAAACATATTTTTGACGGGGCGGGGCGGGGCGGGGCGGTGGCGGTTTCAGTGCTAAACAGGGGGGGGCGGTGACGATGCGGAACTTTATCGGCGGTGCGGGACGGGGCGGTGACGGTGCGACTTTTTTTGCTGACTCGCTCATCTCTGGTTCGAACATGTAATCATTTGGATTTTTAGTAGATAGTACTGAGTAATTGTATAAGATGATTGTATTGTGATTGATCAATCCTGGTGGTGGATAGATAATCAAGCATGTCCATGGGCACAGACTTTCTATCATTTCCGTACAATTACGTTGCTGGGGCATGGGCAATCACGCTCGAAATCGTCTGTGAAAATACATCGAATCAGATAACGACATTGTTCAAGTATGGTTCGGTTTGTTGAATTGATCATATTCAATGGAGGATATCGAGAATCATTGTAGTTTTTATCCGACCAACATAATCCACTTTTAAGTGTCCAAGTAGGTCGATGCAAGCTCAGCTCACACATGTAATTACGATTGCGCTTATTAAAACAGTCTCGCACTTTTGGTACGACCCGTTGAAACGGTATTCGGTCAAACCATTGAATACATTGCCCGTCACCGCAAGAATAATGATCACGCACACATATATGTTCATTACAATGCATAGAGTTTGAAACGTAAGAGCACGTTTCTCACTATCCATGTTTTTCGTCGCTCTAGTCCATACAATCCCGTTCACCTATCAGCCGGTGCAATATAATGAAAAGACTCTAGATTCGAAATTACTTACCATCAAGCCAGAATTCTTCTGGAATTCACATGCCATTGTTACACCGCAATTCATCATCCTCGCATTCATTGAATTCTCATATGTCCCAGTTTTCTTCATCTGTACCATTAGAACATCGCTGATAACTATTACAAATTTCTTGGCAATCAAGACAGAGATCACTTGAGGAACGAGATAGTGTTTCGTAACAGACGATGTTCCCATATCGTTGAGTGTTCCATGGATCATTCTCTTTCTTTTCTTCAAGCAGAGCATCGAGCGCTTCATGAAATGATGTTGCCTGGTATGTCAATTCATATTCACAATATTTGCCAAATGTTCCTGATTTTGTGCAGTTGCATAAAAACCGATCATCATCTTCTTCAACCTACGACTGATTGTAGAAGATGCTGGCATGCATATCAGCCATCTCGACGCTTGAACTCCATTGTAGAACATTGCTTGATTTGATATCTTCATTAATCAGGTCACGAAACAGATTTTTCTCACCGTCATTCTTACAATCTGTACTCTTCCGATTAAGTTTCTGAATTCCATTCGGACGTCGACAATATAAAATTTCCTGTACATTTTCAGAGATGTAGTACACACAATCGAATTCCTTAATGACTTCATTGTTTTCAGTATTGTAAAGAAGAATTTGGCTATAGCCAACAGAACAGACTAAAGTAAAGGTAGCTACTACAATTATCCACATCTTCAAACTGATTCTCTGTGATAATCTAGAATAACTTGCAATGAATCTCAACGATCATCATCTACTTGCAGAAAGAGAAAGAAAAAAGAAAGAATAATCACGTTCGCTAACAACTAGTCTTCAATCATTATTAAATAATAGTCAATAAATAAATGGCGTAACTAAAAAATCCAATACTCTTCTCGAATCTGACATAGGAGTTAGATGATATGCACATTTTACGTCTTTTTCTCTTTTTCTTTTACTTTGTTATCTGCGAAACAGCAGCGAGTTGGAATGGCAATAGAATGGAACAAAAGGATAATATCCAGTTGCAAAAAATCGAACAATGCATCTTCTGCTTTCCAGACAGCTGTAATACTACTGTACTAGAAAGGAGTATTTATTATTCGCTTTGTTTCGTCTTATAACAGAAGGGGAACATTTTCACTATAACATCACAGAATGGAAAAAAAGGGTCAATCCTTTTGTGCGATCCGAACTACTCATGTTCTCCTATCTTCTCAGAGGTATTAACCAGCTAGACTTGAAAGGGTGATATATCTCCATTTTTTTTGACTACTCCATAATAAAACTTTTTACTTAAATGAGATACATTAGATTATCGCAAACAAAGGCTGTGGGTGTGGGTGTAGGATGTACGTTCATCTTTTCTTACCTTAACCTACACTCTGTAGTATATTATAATGAAATGTTTGACTTTTGATACTTGTTTTGAAAATCCAAAGAAAAAGATGGTTAGTACATTTCGAACAATGAAAACGGACACATTATTAACGCTTAATAAGCAACTATGGGGCAGAAAATAGGTGAAACGGTTATTTTTAGCCAGGAATGAATTTAGATTTTGGTCCAATCTTACGACATTCATTTATTTACACACCTTCATGGTCTAATTTTTTTATATTTATTTTCTTCCATTTTACGATAAAATCGAATCTCTCTAAAACAATATGCAATTCAATATGTTTGCTCGTTTCAACGATATCCGTAGTTAAATGGTTACAGTCATGTCACTAGTCTATGTTCAAATACATCGATTGAAAGAAGAGCATTTGGATTTTGCTCGGTTGATGTAATAAAACACAGCTTGTAAACAGTATTTTTCGCATTTGATGAAAAAACCAAGCTACTCGAAAGAATATTTATTGTCCAAACCTTTTTTCGAAACATATACATGAGTATATGAGAGTGTAAGTGTGAGATGTAGATGTTCTCTTAATTTTGACTTACATCCCCGCTCTCAACAAGCAACATCTTTTTTCCGATCACACGAGCTGAAAATTAGGTCTTTTATGGATAATTGTCTCTTTGGTAGGATTAGGTGTAAGCAGACTAAAAAAATACAATACAATGTTGATGCATGAGTTCATCTATAGAAGTGTTGTTGGCAAAGGCTTCTTGTCTCGTAATATTCTTGCAACAGTAACACTTGAATGAACGTTTTTCATAGTGGGATTTTGATTTTTCTCTGTTCCTTCAGAAATTAATCCAAGATGAGCAGTATTTCTAGTGGATGCCAGCTTTTTCCTGCTTGTTGGTACGTGTTCAACATGAATAGCCGATTTTTGTGATATAGAATGAGGTAATGACAAATTGTTGGTGTTTTGCGGTGGCCGTTGTTTCTTTCTCACGATTGGTCGACGAGTTGATGTCACATGTTTTATAAATACATTCTGTCCTCTAGTTGCTGATGATGAATCCATTGATGTTGCACCTCGATCAACATCATCCAATCGAATCGTAGTGTCAATAATCGACTGGCAAGGTTGATTTGATAATAATGAATCTTTCTTTGTCAATTGCGTCGTTTGCACACGATTCACTCGAACATGGCCAACAGGTTCGATACTGTTGCGTCTTAAATTCATATTTTCTGGGGATTGTGGGATACGGCACGATGGTAATGAAGAGCATGAACTACGTCGTCGTCTTGTTGAGGTTGAATTGATGTTGAATACTTTCACATGATCATTTGTTTTCGATTGGAATCGAGAGAAACGCATTGAATCATCATCTGGTAGTCGAATCTGAGATTTAATACTCGGATTTGCTGCCTTGATTAGTCGTTTTGCCGCTTGAATTTTTGAAACTGATACATGAGCGATCAGTTTTCGTTGTGAAGAATTGCTCGACATCTCTAATGAATCGTTGCTTTCATAGTTGTTCATAGCCGATACATTGCGGTCTTGACCAGAGTGTGATATTTGACTTTGTAGTCGACTTAATGGTATTAGTTGATCATTGTTCGAGTCACTTGTAATTTCACTGAACACATTATGAGCAAGACAGTTAGGGCTTTTGGCAATGAGAACAGCATCATAATTCGAAAGTTGACGCAAAGAACAACTTGGATCGAAACATCGATCAATGTAGTAGAATTCAAAAACTCCTTTTCCTTCGGCTACACCACTGCGATCACTCAGAAGGCTGAAATAAGAAGAATATTGCACAAGAATGGAGCGCATTGTTTTTATACTAACCAACAATATCGCCAACAAAGACAAGAGCACAAAGTTAATGCCCCAATAAGAGTAAGACCAACGATACTGCCGATTATTGGCCAATCGATCGTATCAGCTACGCGAAATGGGCTTATATATGCATAATAACAATACTGATCAATGTAAGCATACGTTTTTTTGTTGTCGTTGCTGTTGTCGAAGTCGTCGAAGTTGTTGAAGTCGTTGATCTAAAGACAAAGAACTATTTCGCTAGTTTCTGAAAATCTAAAACAAGCTGACGTTGTGGATGTTGATGTAGTCGTCGTTGACCTAAAATGAATTTAAAAACTCTTAAAGATTATCAGACAACTTGAACAATCTCTATTTACGTAGATGTTGTCGAAGTGGACGATGTCGTTGAACTGAATAGGCATAATCAACATTTTAGTGAGAAAGATAAATGTCTTACTCACGTGCTGGTACTTGAAGTTGTCGTCGTTCTAAAGATTATAAATAATGAAACTCAAGATGAGTGAAAAGGAAAAATCTCTACAGACGTGCTTGTAGTAGCAGTAGAAGTTGTAGCACTAGTCGATGTTCTGAAATAAACACATCAGTCAAAGTAGTCTAGAACTAATCATTTCATTCAACTAACGTTGTCGTTGTAGTGGTGCAAATGTCACCAGGACAAGCACAGACACCATTTTGTGAAACGTAGAATTTGAAACAATATTGTGCTGATTGTGCATTTTGACTGGATGATCAAAAATAGATTCAATCGTTTGGATTTTATATGAATTCAATACCTGTCGAAAGCCATTGCACACATAACTTGATAGCCAAGTTGAGATGATGTCGGTGTCCATGAAAGCGTTTTGTAGTAGGTTGTCGTGTTGAGTTTTATGAGATCTCCTTTTATCATGCCAGCAAATGATAATGTCGAAATATCGTCAATAGTTACAGTTGCACCGCAATAGTTAATCGCAATCAACATCGAGTTGAATGTTTGACCGACTGTTACAGGTATACAGGAGTCTTCGAACGGTATTCCAACAATGACCGGCTCAGTAGTACACGATGCTGGATTAACAACATGAACGAGGAATTGTACAGGTACTCCACTAAGAGGAGTGGTGCTCGTTGGAGTGATGAAATCTTCAATCTAAAGATAAGATGTATTTATGAGCAACAGAAAAAAAATTATACATAGATTCACCATGATTGCCACAGCAAACCAGTCGCCAACTGTCTGACCAGTAATGATCATGGTACAGTTCGAGTAGATGATAGTATTCGGCGGTAGTGAACTAGGTGGACATACACCACCACATTCATCAATACCATATGATGATGTCGACCATCGACAACGTGTCGTATCACCGTCCGCGTCGCCCACAGGTATGGTAATAGCTGTGGGACGGTTGACAGGGATTTCGATCGGAGACATCATTGTCGCCACAGGAGCATTGTTGTACAGACCATTATCAGATCTTGCGTTGACTTTGATGTGCGTTGCGATTGACCACGAAGCACCTGAAGATGTCTCTAGAGGACGCCAGGCACTTTTTTGAAAAGCAGCAGTAAAATCATCGCCAGCTGACAAATAGACAATATCAGAACGCTGCCCAACAGTAGTACCTATCGGTGCTGAAATGTCTGTACACCGTGGTCTGACATCAGGAGGAACATAACCAGTTGCACCAGTATTGCAATTACTTATGCAATCGAGTGTGTCAGTTAGTAGATGAGTATATCCGCCAATAGGAATTAATTGGTTGGTAGCAATATCGGCCGTTGTACATGTAATCAGTGAATATGTCCATGAATAGGTCTGAGTTATTACGATTGCGACTGGTGACCCAGTAGCAGATTCATTCCATGGAGGGTGTGGGGTGTGGGTGTGGGGTGTGGGTGTGGGGTGTGGGTGTGGGGTGTGGGTGTGGGTGTCTTTTCTAGTCTACGCCCACACTCACACCCCAGGAAGAGTATAGTTGAAGTTTCAATAACTTTTCGTTTCTCTTGTGAAAGACATCGTTCATTGCGAAGTTTTTGTTAGAGACAGTTTTGTTTTAAGACCCTCTCCATCCTCAAAAATCTATCTCAAGCCAGATGTATTCAAATTGCATGAAATTCTCAGCCTATACCATGACGTTTGAAAGAGATATTCACCAAAAAATGGTCAAAAATAGGTTATTTGGTAACTCGAAATTCTCTATCAGCATTCATGCTATATATTTTATTTCCTTTTTTGTTTGAAAGAACGTGCTAGACAGCAGTGCCTACCAGAATCTTTTGTTTTAAATTCTTAATTTCCAAGTGGACAAAAAAAAGGATGACAAATTCCGTGACTCGAAAAACTCGCAAAAAACGACGCGGCAATTATAATAGTGCTCTTTTATATAATAGTAACAAAGCTTATATAAAACAACCTAGTTCTGATAGACGCTGCAGCTTCACATGTTCTTTCAAGCAAAAGAAATGTGTAAGAATGAAGGTCGACAGAGAAATCTGGGATGTGGGATCAGAAAAAGGACAAACATTTGGCACTTTTTCTGAAAATACCATATGTTTCACGCAGATGACAGCAGAAATCGTCAGAGATTTTGACGGAAAAGGAGTTAATGAATAAAAAATCATGGCATTTATCAAAGAGTAAATCTCGGCCTATCCATTCATGCATTGATGTTAATTCTCATTTTTGTGACGAAAATTGACTTTTTCTGAGGGATGAAGGGCCTTAAACACGACCAATTTTCAAGCAATAAATATGATTGCAGAACTTTTTGAGAATGAAGACCTTCAGTAATATGAGAAAAGACATTAGTCTGTTGGATGGCAGCGAAAGAACGTGCCGGCATCAACGGCAATCAAAAAATCAGCTTTTCTCCTTGGTGTTTCGTAATTATGAAGAGACAAAAAAATTTGATAATATTGAAGGAACTGTAGTTCTTCTCCAGTGTAAAAAATTGGATTGTCGTCAATTCCAAGATATTCATTGTATCTGCAAAACACTCAAATATTAGCGCAAATAGGTTAGCTAATAAAAAAAAGGAAGAGAACTTCATCGCATTTGAAAATAAGAATTTCTCCAACCATAAGTAACTGTTAGCATTAGGTTAAAAAGTACTGATGATTCTTGAAAATTGTCTATTTCATGAAAAATCTTATACACTCAGAAATGAATGTTTCATGCATGTTCCATTGTGTTATAGCATAAAATAGGCTTTTAATTTTTTTTGAAAAGCTGATTTTGATGCAGACTGGGAACTTTCAGCAGATTAAAACCTGTTACATGCAAAGTAATATTATATAACAAACACTTTATTTATACTTTCATGAATATCATGTTAAAAATAGGAGATATGCCATACATAAAGTTCTAAACAAAGTAGAATAATTTAATTTACACATAAATCAAATGGAAAGTAAACATAAATTGACATCCGTACACAAGTTGCAAGTAACACTATTCCGAAGAAGAATTTGATCATCAGAAATGAGAAATGATATTCATATCTCTTAATCAAATTATGTGTGACAAAAACTGTTGTCTCGTCGCAATCATGGAAGAGCACAATATTTTCTATCATTCTAGGCATTACGCCTTCATTTTTCTGTTAATGATATTAGTTCTTGTCTGTTTTGTTGTATGTTCTCAATCTTCATCTGTCTGGTTCTCTTCTTGGTTTTCTTCCTTGCTTTAAATTTGTATTTGTACGAACCAGATTTATTCTGACAATCGTCGATTTGACTCTATTCATGCAATAGTAAATGGTAGAACAGACATTTTGCATTTCAGAAATTCTGTTAATAGGATCTAATCAAAGATGGTTCTAAATATTAGTTCAAAATTTGATTGTTCGGTCGCTAGCGATGACAAAAATCCTTCCAAAACAAGATAGGTTATGATGAGTGCGTTGAAAACTTCTTTTAGTATCGTAGAACTTGACAGACGTGTTTAAATGTACAAAAACCACACCAGTCTCTTATTGGGATAAGGTTCATTTATTGCCCCTAATGGAATTTGTATAGTGCAAAAAAATGTTCAGTTTTATAAATAATACGTGTACATTATCGAAATAAAATAGTTAGTTTCATTGTCATTTTGCATGCTTTCATCTATCATTCACAAACACATACAGTGTTTCAAATACACCAAAGAAACCATATTGAATAATCAGCAAACAAAGCCAGCAGAAAAACAGTGATATGAAAATTTCTAGTCTTAGAATATCAAACTTTACAGATGGATGGCTCACACAATTATTCCAAAGCTAACCTATGAAATAGAACTACTCAAAAGTTTGTCATGAAATAAAAATCGATTCACTTGTGAACAACTCGAAACATCTGTTGTTTAATGCTTTTATTACGCTGATACTATGCACGAATCAATTGAAAAGAACACAATATATATGAATAATGCGAAAAAAACACAATTCTACAGAAAATGTCAATTACTAGGGAGGTGACTTTTGTCAATTCATCGAATTCGACATTATAGTAAGATTGACGGCTATGATAGGAAGTTTTTTTTTCCGTTGATCGGTTATCTCTTCCATGTAAGACAAAAATATGTGATTTTTTTCTCCTAGATTTTAAACGTTCAATATAGAATGAAAGAAAAATAAAGCTACGTGTTTTTTTTTTGTTTTTATTAAATGATTAATAGCGTGTATCTGCGTCATCATCAA